TGAAGAATTGCATGATATGCCGAAGGTACGATGCAAGAACTTGCTCTTATCCAGGGCCACCACCCCTGCCAAAGGAACGAGTGGTCCATCTACAACCTTTCGAAACGACAGGAGTAGATTATACAGGAGCAATATATCTAACAGGGACTGCAGATAAGCAACCTATCAAGGCATACATCTGTCTGTTCACCTGTGCTACCACCAGGGCAGTACATCTAGAGGTAACACCCGATATGACTGCTCAATCATTTATTCAAGCTTTCCGCAGATTCGCAGCACGCCGATCATGCCCTAAGCTGATGATTTCAGATAACGGAGCAAACTTGGTAGCTGGAGAAGCATGTCTACGGGAAATCTGTTCCCATCCTGCAGTTACTTCCACACTGGAACAGCGTCATTGCAGATGGAAATTTATCCCTCCGAGAGCCCCATGGCACGGAGGATTTTATGAACGGTTAATAGGAACTGTAAAAAGATCCTTGAGAAAATCTCTACACCGTCAGAAAATCAATCTTCAAGAACTCCAGACAGTAATCACGGAAATAGAATCAAGGGTGAATAACCGGCCGTTGACTTACTTGTCTGAGGATCCTACTCAACATGAGCCATTAAGTCCTGCCCACCTAATGTATGGAAGACTTCTGACTCCAGTACCATCTCTAGTGGATGATGAGATCAGAGATCCCTCATATGTGGGTCAGAGCGAGTTGGTTCAGGGGTATAAGCATCTGTCCAGCATAATCCAAAAATGGAATGATGTTTGGACAAAAGAATATCTTACATCTCTACGAGAACATCACTATGGGGCCAATGTCCCACATAATATAGCTAATCTCCAACCTGGCGATATTGTCTTGGTAGACAGTGATGGCCCTAGGGCTGACTGGCCATTAGGTAAAGTTGTCTCAGTCCATCCAGATAGTCAGGGGATTTTGAGAATAGTCAAAATCCTGTCTAAAGGAACAACTTCCCTGAAGACATTGGACAAACTCATCCACATGGAATCAGTGAGCCAGCTGCAGTTAGATCCTGAGAGACCTCAAGACACTCTAACTCCACAAGACCCACAGACTCCTAACAGACACAATCGTCCACAACGGACAGCAGCACAAAAGTGCAAGCAAAATTTGCACTTGTATTATCAATCCAATGGAGAGTAAATAAATACATATGGTTACTATTGTCCTAAGTATTGGACTCTGTGCCAGTTCTCTCCCTCTGGAAGATGTGGGAAATTTTTACCCACCATATCTAATAATCATCTAAGAAATGTATAATTTCTATATCATATCTAAATCATATCAAAATCATATCTAAAACGTATAAAAATCATATTTGAATTATTAAAGATTCATTTTATAGCTTGATCCTGGATGACAATGGCACCATGAACACGTACGCAACAGGGGCCCTTTTGATGCCTACGTGACTTTGTACATGATCTTTCAAGGATCCAGAAGCTTCTAGAAGGACTTCTTAATTAAAAAACTATTGGAACATTGATTCAACATCCGGTAGGATTAAAAATCGAATCCTTAATAAGATTCAGTGGTACTTTCAAATACTACTTATAATCTTTAAATCTTATATCTAATTATATTATAATCACATCTTATCTTAATCATAAGTCTAGACTGTAAAAATAATCAATCAATATTCATTGAAAGTTACCTCTCAAGGGAGAGAGAGGAGCACCTCGGGGGGCGAGAAGGGCCCACGACGATGCCTCGCGGCACTCCGCGTTTGTTTACAAATGAGTGAACAAGTGACTGATCCTTAGCGAACATTACCAGCTCAAGGACACCTTATCTAATATTTTTTATCGCCAGTGAATACTCTCTAGAACTGGGGGAGTACCTGGACAATATCTACAAGGAAAATCATAGAACATTCATAAAATAAGAGTGTATAGTGGAGATCACGGTGACACGGTTTCCTCCATCTTCATTCTTTATCTTTATCATATCATTCTTCTGCAACGCAGTTAAAGAAAAATCACGTAGCAACGCTACCAGATCATCATACAGCAACGCTGTAGCAAAATATCGTGCCTAAACTCAACAAGAGAGAGTTAATCAGTCTGGCAAACTTGTCAGACAGGCACCCCGACTGGCAGAGAAGTATATTGAAGGTTATTTGGTGTATGATTGGCCAATTGTATGCTTGTGTAGCTTTAATATCCTATAAATCTGTCTGTTGGTTAAAAAGCGAGGCTAAGCCTCACAAATTGGTACGTTTATTAAAATTATAGTGTAGCTGTGAATCTTATCCAAGCACTGAACCTCATGAGTGTCCATTCTGTCAGAAAAGAATTCAGCCTCAATAAGTAAAAACCTCATAAGTGTCCATATTGTTGGAAAAGATTCAGTCAAGCTAACTGTATAAAGTGAATATGTCTGCATATATATTTGAATATATAAATTAAGTTATCAATAGCTTGCTTAGTTAATTTTTAAGTTATCATATAAGTTCATTTAATTGAATATAATTTCTAGTACTTACTCAACAGTATTTAGACTATATTTAAGGTCATTTATTTATACTTTTACAATTTAATTTGTTGTTTATAGTATAAGTACATATTGGCTGTTAAGTTATGGTGCTAGGTTAGACTATGTATGTTTAAATCCCTGATTTAAACAGAGCCAGTGTTCAGTCAGATAACTGAATTTATCAAATCTTATCCTTGTATAAAATACAAGCTGATGTGAGATCCCTGTCTACAGGTGGATTGGAACTTCTATCAACATAGTCATTCACCCCACCTGTCCCTTACAGCCCACAGTTTGTCATTAGGAAAAGAGGATTTAGGATTTACAACCCTAGCTAGAGATTTTAATTGAATTAATTTGCAGACAGTAATTTTTTAATTTAGTTCAGTACAAGTCCCTGGTAGTCTCCTCTTATATCAATCCCAGCAGGTTTTTCCCACATAACCTATCTAGGCCTAAACAAATGTATACTAGGCCTAACATAGTCAATATGTGAATTATATCAGGATATGTTTGGCCTAAAATACGCCTAGTCAAAGAGGTTAGATTGTGGCAGTTTTGGGTGTTGATCTCATCGTTCCTGCCTGTCTACCGTCCCGGTCTATCATTTGTCCACAAGCGCCCGTTCGTATCTCTTGAGCTATCATTTTGGGGCGACGGTCTGGCTTCATGCAGGTCGGCGTTCAATCCCCGCCTGTCCACCAAGTGGTTGGGCACCATTCCTTCCCCCCGTCCCATCCCAAATCCTGACCCCTTCCCAGTGCTATATAGTCATAATGGCTTGGCGCTTTTCCCCCCTGATAGTTCCCTCCTTCCTTCCTTCCTGTGATAACATTGATATATTTTCTTTCGCTCATGATAGCAAGCTCAGCAGGACCTCGCAAGACCCTTGCTTCTCAGTCCATTCACCTGGCGTCTAGCAGACTTGAACCGCGAACCCCATTTGTGTGAGGCCCAAGCTGCCTTGCCTGCTTCTCAGTTTCCTACAAACTTGTCTTCCACAATACGGGTCCTAACACAACTCTCCCAGATGGCTGAAATATGTTTGTAATGTGTTAAATATTCAAAGATATCACTAGTTATCACTAGTTATCACTAGATATCACTAGTTATCACTAGTTATCACTAGATATCACTAGTTATCACTAGTTATCACTAGTTATCACTAGATATCACTAGTTATCACTAGTTATCACTAGATATCACTAGATATCACTAGTTATCACTAGTTATCACTAGTTATCACTAGATATCACTTGTTATCACCAGTTATCACTAGTTATCACTAGATATCACTAGTTATCACTAGTTATCACTAGTTATCACTAGTTATCACTAGTTATCACTAGTTATCACTAGTTATCACTAGATATCACTAGATATCACTAGTTATCACTAGATATCACTAGTTATCACTAGTTATCACTAGTTATCACTAGATATCACTAGATATCACTAGTTATCACTAGTTATCACTAGTTATCACTAGTGTAACTGGTGGGGTGTCTTCCACTTTGGCCACTCTTGTTAATCAGAAAAAGATTAATATATTACTATTTACCAGCAAATCATTGATGATCTATAGAAACAATCTCTCAGGCGATGAGTCACAATAACGTGGCTAAAGTATGTTGACCAGACCACACACTAGAAGGTGAAGGGACGACGACGTTTCAGTCCGTCCTGGATCACTCTAAAGTCGATAGAATGAGACTTGAGAATGGTCCAGGACGGACTGAAACGTCGTCGTCCCTTCACCTTCTAGTGTGTGGTCTGGTCAACAATCTCTCAGCTGTTTGTTAGACAACCGCAGGTATTAGGTGCGACATAAATGGTTGGCATAGCGACAATGTGAGGAGGCCTGGTCGAGGACCGGGCCGCGGGGACGCTAAGCCCCGGAAACACATCAGGATCAGGAGGGATTCCAACCCATGCTGATCAGGTCGGGTGACCTTGGGCTCTGTGGTATATCGTACAACATCATTCATTTACCCATTATACACGTAACTTGGTTACGTGAATAATAATAATAAAAATAATTCATAGTGTCGGGGGACAGACAGCCAGAGGGTAAACAGGTAAATGCGGTTGATAGAGCTTCAGCTTCACACGCTGGGGATCCTGGGTTCGAGTCTCCTAGAGCACAGGTGAATGAAAGGCTAATCAAGTGTTTAGTATTGTTATTAAAGGGACCTGCTGCATGGGTAACAGCTTCTCCCCCATATCAACCTACCCAGGCTTTGCGCCCCTGGAGAGGCCACTCCAGCCAGAGCGCAACTCCATAGTCTCATGAGACTGATGGAGGCCTACTAGTAAGATTATTAACGACGGTTTAGCTATTAAGATCACTCTAAAAACCTACAGATAAAGCCATAAGCATACTTTAGACCGCACCATTTTACTTCAGAACCGAAGTATAACGCCTATATATATACCGACAAGTAGGGTATACCTTTCTGTGTATATTACTGAGGTTAGTATACTGAGTCTACCATTGTGTTCCCTCAGAGTAGGCGAGGAGCCTGAGGACCGAAAGAGGCAGAACGAGGAAGTCTTTAAGGCGTGGGTGAAGCAGAAGAACAAGCAGGCCGCCGTCTCCAAGAAGTGAGTCGGTAACCCCATGATTGATGAAGATTAGACCACCCAAGAGGTGGCACGGGCATGAATAACCCGTAAAAGTGACCCATGAACACATTCTCTGTATATATATACACACACACACACACAATCCCCCGGGTATATATTACGGGGCTATTCATGCCCGTGCCATCTCTTGGATGGCTTAGTCTTCATCAATTACAACTATTCACATATATACACAGATGTACAACCATCGTGACAACCACAACAGCCTCCTTCAATCACTATACCCATGTAATGCCAGCATCTAGCTTGTTCACAACCTTCCCTACCATAATGACCCACTACCATCAATACCCAACAACCAACCACAACATAGGTGGTTGTTACCACCTGTACAACTACCACCACTCACCCTCTACCACAACTCAGCAACTATAATTACCATGAATAATCAACCACAACCCACCACAACTGCCAACAACTACCACTAATATCCATTAATTCCACCACAACACACCCAACTCCAACATACAACTACCACCAAGTCCCACAACCAACCACCAACCACAACCAACCACCAACCACAACCTACCACTAGGTGAATACCAACCACAACCCACTACAACCCACAGCCCACCACAACCCCCGCCCCCCACAACCCCCGCCCCCACCAATACCGGCCGCGATCATAGAGTACTTATCCATAGAGTCTGTGTCCCAAGGTATTTCGGTATGCCAGTTCTTTGTGTCCTAGTTCTTCCGAGATCCCACTAACACCATCCCGTCCGGCAGGTCGCCGGCCTTCACCTCGCCTGCGTCAGGAAGGAGTTCGTCGGAGCTGACCGAGAGACGGAAGCGGGCGGAGGAGGCCTTCCAGGCCTGGCTCTCCAAGAAGCGGCAGGAGCTGCGACTTGAGAAGAGGATGAGAGGTGAACGGCGCCGACTGGAGGATCAGACCCGCTATGCCAGGTCCAAGACCGAGTGTGAAGTCGCTTATAAGGAGTAAGTTCTTTGTTTACGTTCTGTGGTGGGGGGGGGGGGGTGTTTGTATGAGGGAGGTGTGTGTTTGTAGGGGGAAAGTGTGTGTGTTTTTTATGAGGGAGGTGTGAGCTGTCTGCACCTCTTAAAGTTTCCTTTAGTGCTTTCTGAGGTTGTTGCTGTACCTTGGGGCTGCATTTTCTAGTGCTGGTCTGACGTAGGTGGGGTATGGTATTCTAATCGTCGCCATGGTAAGACTTGGTGTTGAGTCAACTAAGAGATTTAATCTAAGGTGTTTCAGGTTGGTAGTTCCTCTTCCTTGTGTTCCAACCCGCTGGTTCCCAGTCCTGATTCTCACCACCTTGCACGTACTTGTATTGAATTCCAGTAGCCATTTCACGGAGTAATACTACGGTCTGTCTACTTCTTTAGTGAAACTTCTACCATCTCCTTCTTTCCCGACCTTTCTCAATACTTTTGCGTTATCTGCAAACACTGTGTGTGTGTGTATTCACCTAGTTGTGCTCACCTAGTTGTGCTTGCGGGGGTTGAGCTCCGGCTCTGTGGTCCCGCCTCTCAACTGTCAATCAACTGGTGTACAGGTTCCTGAGCCTATTGGGCTCTATCATATCTACACTTGAAGCTGTGTATGGAGTCAGCCTCTACCACATCACTTCCTAATGCATTCCATTGTCAACCACTCTGACACTAAAAAAGTTCTTTCTAATATTTCTGTGGCTCATTTGGACACTCGATTTCCACCTGTGTCCCCTTGTGCGTGTGCCCCTTGTGTTAAATAGTCTGTCTTTATCTACCCTATCAATTCCTTTGAGAATCTTGAATGTGGTGATCATGTCCCCCCTAACTCTTTTGTCTTCCAGTGACGTGAAATTTAATTCCCGTAGCCTGTCCTCGTAGCTAATACCTCTCAGTTCGGGTACTAGTCTGGTGGCAAACCTTTGAACCTTTTCCAGTTTAGTCCTATGCTTGACTAGATATGGACTACATACTGGAGCTGCATACTCCAGGATTGGTCTGACATATGTGGTATACAAATTTCTGAATGATTCCTTACACAAGTTTCTGAATGCTATTCTTATGTTGGCCAGCTTGGCATATACCGCTGATGTTATCCTCTTGATATGGGCTTCAGGGGACAGTTCTGGCATGATTTCAATCCTAAGTCTTTTTCTCTCTCTGACTCTTGAAGAATTTCATCTGCCAAATGATACCTTGTAACTGGCCTCCTGCTCCCTACACCTATCTTCAATACATTGCATTTGCTTGGGTTAAACTCTAACAACCATTTGTTCGACCATTCCTTCAGTTTGTCTAGGTCTTCTTGAAGCCTCAAGCTGTCCTCCTCTATCTTAATCCTTCTCATAATTTTGGGATCGTCAGCATACATTGATAGAAATGAGTTTATACCCTCCGGGAGATCATTTACGTATATCAGAAACAGGATAGGACCCAGTACAGAGCCCTGTGGGACTCCACTGGTGACTTCACGCCAATCTGAGGTCTCATCCCTCACTGTATCTCTATGCTTCCTATTGCTTAGGTACTCCCTTATCCACTGGAGCACCTTACCAGTTACTCCTGCCTGTCTCTCCAGCTTATGTACCAGCCTCTTATGGGGTACTGTGTCAAAGGCTTTCCGACACTCCAAGAAAATGCAGTCCGCCCATCCTTCTCTGTCTTGCTTAATCTTTGTCACCTGGTCGTAGAATTCTATTAAGCCAGTAAGGCAAGATTTACCCTCCATGATCCCATGTTGATGGGTTATCACGAAGTCTCTTCTCTCCAGATGTGTTACTAGGTTTTTTTCACAATCTTCTCCATCATCTTGCATGGTATACAAGTCAAGGACACTGGCCTGTAGTTCAGTGCCTTTTGTCTGTCACCCTTTTTTGTATATTGGGACCACATTGGCCGTCTTTCGTATTTCTGGTAGGTCTCCCGTCTCCAGTGACCTACTATACACTATGGAGAGAGGCACACAAAGTGCCTCTGCACACTTTTTCAGTACCCATGGTGAGATCCCGTCTGGACCAACAGCCTTTCTCACATCCAGATCCAACAGGTGTCTCTTGACCTCATCTCTCGTAATTTCGAACCCTTCCAAGGCCGCGTGGTTTACTGTCCCCTCTCCTAGCGCAGTGATCACACCTTGTTCTATTGTGAAGACCTAGTTGGTTCCTTGATGTGTTGGCTTAGAAAGTTTCTTGTTGCCACATCCAGCAGCTTAGCTCTCCATGCATGTATCTGGTCCTCCATGTGGGTCTCTGTTCTCCCAGTCTATCTTCCCGTGGTTGAAGTTTGCCATTATTAGTAGTCCTCATCCATTCCTGCTAGCAACAGAAGCTGCTCTCTCCATTATGTTAATGGTGGCCATGTTGTTTCTATCATATTTCTGTCTGGGCCTTCTGTCATTTGGTGGTGGATTATATATATGACTGTGTGTGTGTGTGTACTCACCTAATTGTACTCACCTAATTGTGCTTGCGGGGGTTGAGCTCTGGCTCTTTGGTCCCGCCTCTCAACCGTCAATCAACTGGTGTACAGATTCCTGAGCCTATTGGGCTCTATTATATCTACATTTGAAACTGTGAATGGAGTCAGCCTCCACCACATCACTTCCTAATGCATTCCATTTGCTAACTACTCTGACACTGAAAAAGTTCTTTCTAACGTCTCTGTGGCTCATTTGGGTACTCAGCTTCCACCTGTGTCCCCTTGTTCGCGTCCCACCAGTGTTGAAAAGTTCGTCCTTGTTTACCCGGTCGATTCCCCTGAGGATTTTGTAGGTTGTGATCATGTCTCCCCTTACTCTTCTGTCTTCCAGTGTCGTGAGGTGCATTTCCCGCAGCCTTTCCTCATAACTCATGCCTCTTAGTTCTGGGACTAGTCTAGTAGCATACCTTTGGACTTTTTCCAGCTTCGTCTTGTGCTTGACAAGGTACGGGCTCCATGCTGGGGCCGCATACTCCAGGATTGGTCTTACATATGTGGTGTACAAGATTCTGAATGATTCCTTACACAGGTTCCTGAACGCCGTTCTGATGTTAGCCAGCCTCGCATATGCCGCAGACGTTATTCTCTTTATGTGGGCTTCAGGAGACAGGTTTGGTGTGATATCAACTCCTAGATCTTTCTCTCTGTCTGTTTCATTAAGTACTTCATCTCCTATTCTGTATCCTGTGCCTGGCCTCCTGTTTCCACTGCCTAGTTTCATTACTTTGCATTTACTCGGGTTGAACTTCAACAGCCATTTGTTGGACCATTCACTCAGTCTATCCAGGTCATCTTGTAGCCTCCTACTATCATCCTCTGTTTCAATCCTCCTCATAATTTTTGCAATTTCTTGTTAATTTCTTGTGTGTGTGTGTGTGTGTGTGTGTGTGTGTGTGTGTGTGTGTGTGTGTGTGTGTGAGAATGTGTGTGTGCATTCACCTAGTACTCACCTAGTTGTGCTTGCGGGGGTTGAGCTCTGGCTCTTTGGACCCGCCTCTCAACCGTCAATCAACAGGTGTACAGGTTCTTGAGCCTATTGGGCTCTATCATATCTACACTTGAAACTGTGTATGGAGTCAGCCTCCACCACATTACTTCCTAATGCATTCCATTTGTCAACCACTCTGACACTAAAAAAGTTCTTTCTAATATCTCTGTGGTTCATTTGGGCACTCAGTTTCCACCTGTGTTCCCTAGTGCGTGTGCCCCTTGTGTTAAATAGCCTGTCTTTATCAACCCTGTCGATTCCCTTGAGAATCTTGAATGTGGTGATCATGTCCCCCCTAACTCTTCTGCCTTCCAACGAAGTGAGGTTCAATTCCCGTAGTCTCTCCTCGTAGCTCATACCCCTCAGCTCGGGTACTAGTCTGGTGGCAAACCTTTGAACCTTTTCCAGTTTAGTCTTATGCTTGACTAGATATGGACTCCATGCTGGAGCCGCATACTCCAGGATTGGTCTGACATATGTGGTATATAATGTTCTGAAAGATTCCTTACACAAGTTTCTAAAGGCCCTTCTTATGTTAGCCAACCTGGCATATGCTGCTGATGTTATCCTCTTGATATGAGCTTCAGGGGACAGGTCTGGCGTGATATCAACCCCCAGGTCTTTCTCTCTCTCTGACTCTTGAAGTATTTCATCTCCCAAGTGATACCTTGTATCTGGTCTCCTGCTTCCTACCCCTATCTTCATTACATTACATTTGCTTGAGTTAAACTCTAACAGCCATTTGTTCGACCATTCCTGCAGCTTGTCCAGGTCTTCTTGAAGCCTCAAGCTGTCCTCCTCTGTCTTAATCTTTCTCATAATTTTTGCGTCGTCAGCAAACATTGAGAGGAATGAGTCTATACCCTCTGGGAGATCATTTACGTATATCAGAAACAGGATAGGTCCAAGCACAGAGCCCTGTGGGACTCCACTGGTGACTTCACGCCATTCTGAGGTCTCACCCCCTCACTATAACTCTCTGCTTCCTATTGCTTAGGTACTCCCTTATCCACTGGAGCACCCTACCAGTTACTCCTGCCTGTTTCTCCAGCTTATGCATCAACCTTTTATGGGGTACTGTGTCAAAGGCTTTCCGACAGTCCAAAAAATGCAGTCTACCCATCCTTCTCTTTCTTGGCTAATCTTTGTCACCTGATCGTAGAATTCTATCAAGCCTGTAAGGCAAGATTTACCCTCCCTGAACCCATGTTGATGGGTTGTCACAAAGTCTCTTCTCTCCAGATGTGTTACTAGGTTTTTTCTCACAATCTTCTCCATCACCTTGCATGGTATACAAGTTAAGGACACTGGCCTGTAGTTCAGTGCCTCTTGTCTGTCACCCTTTTTAAATATTGGTACTACATTAGCAGTCTTCCATATTTCTGGTAGGTCTCCCGTTTCCAGTGACCTACTATACACTATGGAGAGTGGCAAGCAAAGTGCTCCTGCACACTCTTTCAATACCCATGGTGAGATTCCATCCGGCCTAACAGCTTTTCTCACATCCAGCTCCAATAGGGGCTTCTTGACCTCATCTCTTGTAATTTCGAACCTTTCCAAGGTCACCTGGTTTGCTGCCACCTCTCCTAGCGCCGTGACTTCTCCCTGTTCTATTGTAAAGACCTCCTGGAACCTTTTGTTGAGTTCTTCACACACCTCTTTGTCATTCTCTGTGTACCTGTCCTCGCCCACCCTAAGTTTCATCACCTGTTCCTTCACTGTTGTCTTCCTCCTGATGTGACTGTGTAGTAGCTTTGGTTCGGTCTTGGCTTTATTAGCTATATCATTTTCATACCTTTTCTCAGCTGCTCTTCTCACACTAACATACTCGTTCCTGGTTCTCTGGTATCTCTCTCTACTTTCTGGTGTTCTGTTATTACTGAAGTTCCTCCATTCCCTTTTGTTCAGCTCCTTTGCTTTCATACATTCCCTATTAAATCACGGATTCTTCCTTTGCTTCTCTGTTTTTTCCTGTCGGGCTGGGACAAACCTGCTTACAGCCTCCTGACATTTTTGGGTGACATAGTCCATCATGTCTTGTACGGACTTGGTTCCGAGTTCTGTGTTCCAATGTATATCCCATAGGAATTTATTCATCTCCTCATAGTTTCCCTTTCGGTACGCCAGCCCTTTGTTTCCCAGTTCTTTTTTGGGGGTGATAATTCCTAGCTCAACCAGGTACTCAAAGCTCAATACACTATGATCACTCATTCCCAAGGGGGCTTCCAACTTAACTTCCCTTATATCCGACTCACTTAGGGTAAATATCAGATCAAGCAAGGCTGGTTCATCCCCTCCTCTCGTTCTTGTCGGTCCCTTGACGTGTTGACTTAGAAAGTTTCTTGTTGCCACATCCAGTTGTGTGTTTGTGTGTGTGTGTGTGTGTGTGTGTGTGTGTGTGTGTGTGTGTGTGTGTGTGTGTGTGTGTGTGTGTGTGTGTGTGTGTGTGTGTGTGTGTGTGTGTGTGTGTGTGTGTGTGTGTGTGTGTGTGTGTGTGTGTGTGTGTGTGTGTGGTCACCTATTGGTGTTTTCTGTGAGTATTGGTAACTGTCATATCCATATACCATTATATATCCACTTTTATCCGTATAAACATTTTGTTCTGAGTAGCTGAATCTAAAACAATAACAAGAAACAACAACAACGAACATATTACCGAACATTCTGACCGACAAACATACACATTTCCTCCTATACACTTGCAGTATGTTACCAGACATACACACAAATACGTGCATGAGAGGAAATATGGAGCATAAGCCTCTGTATGAGAGGAAATATGGAGCATAAGCCTCTGTATGAGAGGAAATATGGAGCATAAGCCTCTGTATGAGAGGAAATATGGAGCATTAGCCTCTGTATGAGAGGAAATATGGAACATAAGCCTCTGTATGAGAGGAAATATGGAGCATAAGCCTCTGTATGAGAGGAAATATGGAGCATAAGCCTCTGTATGAGAGGAAATATGGAGCATAAGCCTCTGTATGAGAGGAAATATGGAGCATAAGCCTCTGTACTGATATTGTGGGTTACTATGTTATTATCGCTAGTGCCTTCTGCCGCAGGTGGTGTCGTCGCAAGCGGGAGGAGGTGCGGACGACGGCGCGGGCGGGCGCCGGGGTCCCACGTTCACAGTCGCTGGAACGCCCCTGGGCGCAGGAGAAGACCCGGAAGCTCTACTCTGCCTACCTCAGCGGTCACTAATCACGGCTGCTGCCTTATTTACCGTGATACATGACCATTACACATGGATGTTGGCTACTGGAATACGTGCCACGAAGACACAAGGAGGCTGGTCTCTGAGATACGTGCCACGAAGACACAAGGAGGCTGGCCACTGGGATACGTGCCACGAAGACACAAGGAGGCTGGCCACTGGGATACGTGCCACGAAGACAAAAGGAGGCTGGTCTCTGAGATACATGGCACTACTGTGTGAGTTGAATAGCCAAGGAGGTTGATCAATGTACACAAATGGCACTTCGTAGCAGCAAGGCTCAAGTGGTCAGAGGGACCTCCTGCTGGGGCCATGAGAGACAGGGACCTCCTGCTGAGGCCACGAGAGACAGAGGGACCTCCTGCTGGGGCCACGAGAGACAGAGGGACCTCCTGTTGGGGCCACGAGAGACAGAGGGACCTCCTGTTGGGGCCACGAGAGACAGAGGGACCTCCTGTTGGGGCCACGAGAGACAGAGGGACCTCCAGCTGGGGCCACGAGAGACAGAGGGACCTCCTGCTGGGGCCACGAGAGACAGAGGGACCTCCTGCTGGGGCCACGAGAGACAGAGGGACCTCCTGTTGGGGCCACGAGAGACAGAGGGACCTCCTGTTGGGGCCACGAGAGACAGAGGGACCTCCTGTTGGGGCCACGAGAGACAGAGGGACCTCCTGCTGGGGCCACGAGAGACAGAGGGACCTCCTGTTGGGGGCCACGAGAGACAGAGGGACCTCCTGTTGGGGCCACGAGAGACAGAGGGACCTCCTGTTGGGGCCACGAGAGACAGAGGGACCTCCAGCTGGGGCCACGAGAGACAGAGGGACCTCCTGTTGGGGCCACGAGAGACAGAGGGACCTCCTGCTGGGGCCACGAGAGACAGAGAGATCAGAGCAGGGAAGCCTCTGACCGCTCCCTCAGCCACAGGTCCTGGTACAGCAGTGCTGGCTCCTGGTCCACCAAGTGCCCCAAAAAGTTATCACCGAGTACCACAATGTCATCCTTCTCCCTCCTGTCCATTCCCCCTCCCTACTTCACAGTCTCCCTTACATTTGGCAAAAATGTGCTCGAGTGATGTTGAATCAACATTATCGGGCACTAGAAGGGGGGGGGGTCGACCCCAACCTACCCTATGACACTTGCTATACAATCACACGTCACCATGAAAAGTTAAGTTCGAGGCTACAACCATCTGGCTTCCAACCTCGAACCAGACATTCTATCTTCTAGCTTTAAATAACGAATATGCACATGACAAATGTTAATTAATAAAGACTAAATATATCCATCTCTTTGTCCAGCAGCAGTTGTTGATTGTTTGCCAGCTGTGTATTGATCATCCTACCATATGTAGCATTGGCTATAATAGTCTTGTGGTACTTTGTGATAAACAATAGGGCCTAATCTATTTAGCTCGCCTCGGCGGCTGCTAGTTGGAGTACAGCTGTACCTGGCTCCGTGTGTATGGTATACAACTGTACCTAACTGTAGGATACAGGTGTTTGCCTCTGTGAATATAATATTCGAAGTTTCCGTAGTGAACAGGAGCTTGTCATGTATATGAGGCTTATCGGGTAGGCTGATGTGTGTGGCGTGTTAATTTTACGTGTTCTTAATCTAATTTCAGAGGCCTGTGGTTGGCCTTAGGGCAGTGAATGTGTGTGTTTTGCTGTGGGTAGGCCTATTAATATATATTTTTGTAGGATGCCTTCCCATTTTCTGCGAGAGGTTGTAATTCCACATAGTTTTAACAAATAGAAAATGAGCTTCGTCGAATCGTCTGGTGTTGGGGGACGTATGGACGGCGAGTCAATCTTTATACACCTGGCGCCTGCTACACATCTCTTCTGGCTAAGAGATTTTAGGCAGAGTGGGCAGCAGGTGTGGGTGGGCAGCAAATGTAGGTGGGCAGCAGATGTAGGTGGGCAGCAGGTGTGGGTGGGCAGCATGTGTGTACCTGTCATTGTCTATGGGGAAGCGAGGTGTAGTTCTTTATGCTTTGCTTACTAGCCTTGATGTTTCTATTGTGTTATAATTGAACTGTTCTGAAGTTCAATTTTTTTGTTGAGTCTGGCCTAAAATATGTGGATGGAGGTGGCTTCCACAAGTTCTTTCCGTGCATGCCACTTGTTGACCATATGAGGTACAAATATTTCCTTATATTCCTTCGTTTCCAGCTTCCATCCTGTGTAATCTTGTTCAACTTTCTCCCAATTTAAGAGGCTGTCCTTGTCCACCTTGTCTATTCCCTTCTATATCTTGTATGTCATGATCATATCCCCACTATTTCTTCCCTCTTCTACAGTTGTGAGATTTAGTTCTCGGGGGGGGGGGGACCCCTTTTTTCACATCCCTTTAGCTCGATGCCTTGTTTGTTTGTTACCCTTTGTTTACTGTTCTTCAGGTACACTCTACCCCAGTAAAGTGTTTCCCATTGGTCCCAGCTGGCTTCTTCATATTGTACATCAGCCTTCAATGAGGAACTGGATCAAATATATATTTGATCATGAACTGACCAGTATATATTTTAGTGAATGACTGTTCTTAAAGATACTTTCACTGGTCGATTTCTTTTCTTTTGAAACTTTCCTAACCTAAAGTACTGTTATATTCCTCCTTTTCACAATCAAGTTAGATCAAGTTTACATAGCTTTCATTTTTCTTTTCAAATGTTGGTAACGGTCGTTAAACTCGATTTAGTTTATCAGGTGTGAATCTTATGTTCTAAATTCATTCAATTCATCCATTACAAAGTTTATCCTCTCCAGGTGTTTATTTCTTATTCTGAGTACTTTCTCCAGCACTTTACATGGAATAGTTGTCAGTGACAGTCGTCCACAAGTTAGTTCCTCCTGCCTGTCCCCTTTTTAAAATATTGGGACTCCATTTGCCATTTTCCAGATTTCTGGGAGATATCCAATCTTGAGTGTTTTATGGAAAATTTGACTTAGTGGATGGGAAGATATCTGTCCAGCATCCTTCAGCAGCGATGGTGATATTGAGTCTGGTGCTATTGCTTTTGTTGTGTCAAGTTCCTCCTGTTTATTTTTTTACAGTGCCATTTTTAAATTGCCTCTCAGCTTCCCTTTTGACTCAGGGGTACTCATTTTTTTTAAGTGCTACTCTATTGTATTCTATTCCAAGTTCTCTGTACTTTTGACATGCTATTTTTTGTCCTTTCTGTTCCCTGCATTGACTATTGAACCAAGGACTTATTCTGTTCCTCTGGTTCACCTCCCTCTTGAATGGGATGAAGAACTGATCCTTGGTATTTGCACATTTCCAGGATGTGAATACCGGCATCACATTTATTGTCTTTCTTGTAACTCTGACATTGCAATTACCCCCTTTTTTAATTCTGTTATGTACTCTACACAGTTGTACAGTGATGGCTAGCGCCTCGAGGCATCGCATACTACTTCTCGACATCTGCCTCATTTTGAGTAAACACCAGGTTCGCTTTCCTTATTGTTATTGGTGCTATGATATTGGTGCTAGTCTCAAGAAGTGTTTGTGTGCTGTGTCCATCAGCTTTGCTCTCTATGTCTCATAAAGCATCTGAGGGTCCTTCATTATCCTGTCTCTTTCCTTGTGATTAAAATCCACAAGTTTAGCATCTTAGCCTCGCTGCCTTTGTCATTGTGGCCGTTTTTTCTCCTACCTTTTAGGCAGGTCTCATTGTATTCCTTACTTTATTATTTGGAGGAGATTATAAATCACTGCTACCAATATCTTTATTTCCCACTCTTGTTGTTCCTACTATGTTTTCTTGCTGATTGGTTTTCTCTATTTTATTTCTTCAAAGCTCCAGTGAAGCTGTAGAAGTAAGATATATTCCTCCACCTGAGTTCAACCTCTCCTTCCATACCGCCACATAGACCTGTGGGAAGATCAACTCTCGTAAAACACTTGTTAGTTTTGTTTCCATTATTGTAATAATGTTGAGTTGTTTTTTACCGTCCTTTCCATCAAACCTTATCCACGTATTTGTAATTCCATCTCCATTCATGTACAGCACTTTAATGCTTCTCTTCTCTGCTGGGTTTCCTTAGTTTGGCTCAAGGAGTGGAGGTTCTGGCGGTTCTAAGTCCTTTCCTGATAGGGGAAGGAGGTGTATGTTGATCTAGTTACTGCTGCTTGCTCTTTTAGATAGGTGTCTCATCAGGCTTGGCAACCCCACAATTTTGTTGTTATATTCTTTGCTTCCTCTGTCTTCCTTAATCATATCGTGGTTAATATATACTTGATGGTACTTTCCCCATTTCTTAAATTCCTTTTTTTTCTGCCAGTATATATTTTAGTGAATTACTGTTCTTAATGATACTTTTCACTGGCCGATTTCTTTCATTTTGAAACTTCCCTAACCTTAAGTACTGTTATATTTTAATACAGTAGTTGCTTTTCCAGCCAGAATTTTATGGACATTTATGTCATCTCTGGTCTTCTTCTCTTCTCATTTGCCATATGTTTTCCTCAGGCTCTGGTAGATTGTAAATTACATGTTGATGGTCAGGTGTGGGCAGGCAGCAGGTGTGGGCGGTCAGGTATAGGTATTAGTAACACTCAGTTTTATGATGTGTATATATATAAATATATGACAATAGTCTCTGAAGTACCACGATTTCGGGGCTCAACGTCCCCGCGGCCCGGTCCTTGACCAGGCCTCCTGGTTGCTGAACTGATCAACCAGGCTGTTAGACGCGGCTGCTCGCAGCTTGACGTATGAATCACAGCCTTTCAGCAAGCACGCTCGGAATAATTATTTTGTTTTAGCTAGTATTTATATGTTGGGATATTCCAACATATATATATATATATATATATATATATATATATATATATATATATATATATATATATATATATATATATATATATATATATATATATATATATATATATATGTCGTACCTAGTAGCCAGAACTCACTTCTCAGCCTACTATTCAAGGCCCGATTTGCCTAATAAGCCAAGTTTTCATGAATTAATGTTTTTTCGTCTACCTAACCTACCTAACCTAACCTAACCTAGCTTTTTTTGGCTACCTAACCTAACCTTACCTATAAATATAGGTTAGGTTAGGTTAGGTAGGGTTGGTTAGGTTCAGTCATATATCTACGTTAATTTTAACTCCAATAAAAAAAAATTGACCTCATACATAGAGGAAAGGGTTGCTTTATCATTTCATAAGAAAAAAATTATAGTAAATATATTAATTCAGGAAAACTTGGCTTATTAGGCAAATCGGGCCTTGAATAGTAGGCTGAGAATTGAGTTCTGGCTACTAGGTACGACATATATATATATATATATATATATATATATATATATATATATATATATATATATGTGTGTGTATATCACGAAAATAAACACGTGATTAAAAATGTGACAATGTCAAACCACGGAGGAAAAATGAAACAGGAATTTCCTTAAGTACTTTCGTATATTAATACATCTTCAGAGGAGTGAAGATCTCCTTCTGAAGATGTATTAATATACGAAAGTACTTAAGGAAATTCCTGTTTCATTTTTCCTCCGTGGTCTGACATTGTCATATATATATATATATATATATATATATATATATATATATATATATATATATATATATATATATATATATATATATATGTCGTACCTAGTAGCCAGAACGCACTTCTCAGCCTACTATGCAAGGCCCGATTTGCCTAATAAGCCAAGTTTTCCTGAATTAATATATTTTCTCTAATTTTTTTCTTATGAAATGATAAAGCTACCCATTTCATAATATATATGATCAATTTTTTTTTATTGGAGTTAAAATTAAAGTAGATATATGACCAAACCTAACCAACCCTCCCTAACCTAACCTACCCTATCTTTATAGGTTAGGTTAGGTTAGGTAGCAGAAAAAGTTAGGTTAGGTTAGGTTAGGTAGATTAGGTAGTCGAAAAACAATTAATTCATGAAAACTTGGCTTATTTGGCAAATCGGGCCATACATAGTAGGCTGAGAAGTGCGTTCTGGCTACTAGGTACGACATATATATATATATATATATATATATATATATATATATATGTCGTACCTAGTAGCCAGAACGCACTTCTATGCCTACTATGCAAGGCCCAATTTGCCTAATAAGCCAAGTTTTCATGAATTAGTTGTTTTTCGACTACCTAACCTACCTAACCTAACCTAACCTAACTTTTTCGGCTACCTAACCTAACCTAACCTATAAAGATAGGTTAGGTTAGGTTAGGTACGGTTGGTTAGGTTCGGTCATATATCTACGTTAATTTTAACTCAAATAAAAAAAAATTGACCTCATACGCAATGAAATGGGTAGCTTTATCATTTGATAAGAAAAAAATTAGAGAAAATATATTAATTCAGGAAAACTTGGCTTATTAGGCAAATTGGGCCTTGAATAGTAGGCTGAGAAGTGCGTTCTGGCTACTAGGTACGACATATATATATATATATATATATATATATGTCGTACCTAGTAGCCAGAACTCACTTCTCAGCCTACTATGCAAGGCCCGATTTGCCTAATATGCCAAGTTTTCATGAATTAATGTTTTTTCGTCTACCTAACCTACCTAACCTAACCTAACCAAGCTTTTTTTGGCTACCTAACCTAACCTTACCTATATATATAGGTTAGGTTAGGTTAGGTAGGGTTGGTTAGGTTCAGTCATATATCTACGTTAATTTTAACTCCAATAAAAAAAAATTACTTATTCTGTTCCTCTGGTTCACCTCCCTCTTGAATGGGATGAAGAACTGATCCTTGGTATTTGCACATTTCCAGGATGTGAATACCGGCATCACATTTATTGTCTTTCTTGTAACTCTGACATTGCAATTACCCCCTTTTTTAATTCTGTTATGTACTCTACACAGTTGTACAGTGATGGCTAGCGCCTCGAGGCATCGCATACTACTTCTCGACATCTGCCTCATTTTGAGTAAACACCAGGTTCGCTTTCCTTATTGTTATTGGTGCTATGATATTGGTGCTAGTCTCAAGAAGTGTTTGTGTGCTGTGTCCATCAGCTTTGCTCTCTATGTCTCATAAAGCATCTGAGGGTCCTTCATTATCCTGTCTCTTTCCTTGTGATTAAAATCCACAAGTTTAGCATCTTAGCCTCGCTGCCTTTGTCATTGTGGCCGTTTTTTCTCCTACCTTTTAGGCAGGTCTCATTGTATTCCTTACTTTATTATTTGGAGGAGATTATAAATCACTGCTACCAATATCTTTATTTCCCACTCTTGTTGTTCCTACTATGTTTTCTTGCTGATTGGTTTTCTCTATTTTATTTCTTCAAAGCTCCAGTGAAGCTGTAGAAGTAAGATATATTCCTCCACCTGAGTTCAACCTCTCCTTCCATACCGCCACATAGACCTGTGGGAAGATCAACTCTCGTAAAACACTTGTTAGTTTTGTTTCCATTATTGTAATAATGTTGAGTTGTTTTTTTACCGTCCTTTCCATCAAACCTTATCCACGTATTTGTAATTCCATCTCCATTCATGTACAGCACTTTAATGCTTCTCTTCTCTGCTGGGTTTTCCTTAGTTTGGCTCAAGGAGTGGAGGTTCTGGCGGTTCTAAGTCCTTTCCTGATAGGGGAAGGAGGTGTATGTTGATCTAGTTACTGCTGCTTGCTCTTTTAGATAGGTGTCTCATCAGGCTTGGCAACCCCACAATTTTGTTGTTATATTCTTTGCTTCCTCTGTCTTCCTTAATCATATCGTGGTTAATATATACTTGATGGTACTTTCCCCATTTCTTAAATTCCTTTTTTTTTCTGCCAGTATATATTTTAGTGAATTACTGTTCTTAATGATACTTTTCACTGGCCGATTCTTTCATTTTGAAACTTCCCTAACCTTAAGTACTGTTATATTTTAATACAGTAGTTGCTTTTCCAGCCAGAATTTTATGGACATTTATGTCATCTCTGGTCTTCTTCTCTTCTCATTTGCCATATGTTTTCCTCAGGCTCTGGTAGATTGTAAATTACATGTTGATGGTCAGGTGTGGGCAGGCAGCAGGTGTGGGCGGTCAGGTATAGGTATTAGTAACACTCAGTTTTATGATGTGTATATATATAAATATATGACAATAGTCTCTGAAGTACCACGATTTCGGGGCTCAACGTCCCCGCGGCCCGGTCCTTGACCAGGCCTCCTGGTTGCTGAACTGATCAACCAGGCTGTTAGACGCGGCTGCTCGCAGCTTGACGTATGAATCACAGCCTTTCAGCAAGCACGCTCGGAATAATTATTTTGTTTTAGCTAGTATTTATATGTTGGGATATTCCAACATATATATATATATATATATATATATATATATATATATATATATATATATATATATATATATATATATATATATATATATATATATATATATATATATATATGTCGTACCTAGTAGCCAGAACTCACTTCTCAGCCTACTATTCAAGGCCCGATTTGCCTAATAAGCCAAGTTTTCATGAATTAATTTTTTTTCGTCTACCTAACCTACCTAACCTAACCTAACCTAGCTTTTTTTGGCTACCTAACCTAACCTTACCTATAAATATAGGTTAGGTTAGGTTAGGTAGGGTTGGTTAGGTTCAGTCATATATCTACGTTAATTTTAACTCCAATAAAAAAAATTGACCTCATACATAGAGGAAAGGGTTGCTTTATCATTTCATAAGAAAAAAATTATAGTAAATATATTAATTCAGGAAAACTTGGCTTATTAGGCAAATCGGGCCTTGAATAGTAGGCTGAGAATTGAGTTCTGGCTACTAGGTACGACATATATATATATATATATATATATATATATATATATATATATATATATATATATGTGTGTGTATATCACGAAAATAAACACGTGATTAAAAATGTGACAATGTCAAACCACGGAGGAAAAATGAAACAGGAATTTCCTTAAGTACTTTC